GGAGCTCCAATTCTGAAGTGCTAGTGAGACCACACTGAGTCAAGGGGAATGACTGCCTTTCTCCATCTGGTGGTGCCACTCTTCCTAATGCAGCCCAGGGTGCTGTTGGCCACCTGTGCTGCAAGGTTGTGAGATTTCTGGCTCTTTCTGTCAGTGTGGCAAGTTTGAAGTGACCCAGCATAATGTTTTGCAAACACTGGTGCTGGTGCAAAGAAGAGTTTTAGTAAGACAGGTGGATGGTGGAGAGGGTGAAGTGGGATCACTCCTTGGATCAGGGAAGGCTTACATCTTAGTGCTACTGAGGAAGGCATTTCAGCATCTGGCTGCTGAAGTCAAGTAAATAAGATTCTGATTTTTCTTCTGCTACTGCTGTGGAATGCTGATGTGCTTTATGGCCTATTTCTCTGGTGCACATGGTTAGAAGTAAACAGTGATGTCTGAATATTTTAGCTACACTTAGGCAGCCTTGAACTTGCAGGTATAAAGCCCAAGTATTTAATCTTTAACTTGGAAACACCATCTAGCTCTTTAGTGTGGCTTTTGCCCATGCCTTAAGTGTCAGGAATAGATCTGTGGGTAGGGGAGCCTGGAATCTAGAAGGAAGTCCTGTGGTATACTTGACATGCTGAATTTCAGCTTGGGAGATTTTGTTTAGCTAAAGGCCAAGCCAAATTTGGTAGAGGAAAATCTGACCTCGTCATATTTATTAGGTGAGATTGAAAACTGAAATAGTTTCCACAGAAATAATTGAGCAAGATCAGGTGAGAATTTTCAACATCCAGTTACACTTAGTGTTGCTCTAAGTGTACTGTAATTGCTTATTAATACCACAACAGCATCAGCCTTGCTGCTAGCTTCTTGATGTCGTTTACCTGCTTGAAGTGGATTAATTTTGAATAGAAAAAGGGCATAGGTCAGGATGCTTCGGTGTTGGCTGTATGGGGAGCCCTGAAGGCTGAAGCTGCAGTAAGTGACCAAGCTCACATGTGTTCTCTACATATCTCCTCCTTTTGTCACCATTGAGAGAACCATACTGGGCTTGATGAACCGTTGGTCTGACTCTGCTTCTGCATTCTGCACTGATTTTTTTTCATGATATTTTTTTTTTTTCTCCAAACTTGTATTGAGAATTACAGGAATGGAAGGATGCTTTATTAGCAAAGGCTTGCAGAAATATACTTCAGGAGATTCTTCCACTAGTTTAATAGCCAGTACAATATCATTTTTAAGTCATTGTAGGGCTTTATCGAAGAAGTTCTGTGTGAAAGACATGGATTTGGTATGTTAGGGAATGAGACTAGACCATGCATCTTTTTAACATACTACTGTAGATAGTGTGAGAGTGGCTAGGTAGGTGTTTCTTGTAGCTTTCTAGTTAGCTCTTGAATGTTTTAATTAGTTTAGCAGTATTATCTGAAACTAACTTTTTTACCTTACTTTGCTAATTTGAAAATAAATATATCTTTGGTTAGATGTGGCTTGGTTTTTTTTGAAATAAAAAACCAGATGCTACTCTTGTTCTCTTCAATTTCATTCTCTTCATTTTCTAATACTTGCCTGACTTTCCTTCAGAGTTGATTTTGGCTACTCGGGTAATTTCTGGAAAATAACTGGGTTGCTACCAAGTAAGCTTTCTTTGAGTTGAAATACGTTGGTTTGATAGTTGAGGGAAGAGCATAAAAGGTTGGGTAATGTTTAGCTTCAAATTACAAAGGAGAGTTGACTTGATATAAGTGGGCTTAGTGGGATTTTTAAAAGGCTTGATCCTTCATCATGTCCTACTTCACTCCATTTTCCAGAGGATTCAAGACTGTTATGTCCAGTTGCAAAAAATATGGGCTAAATTCTTCCTTATTGTTTTCTGCTAACGTGACATCGTTAAAAAAATATGGTTTTCTTTGATACATTCCTGGCAAGAAATTGGAGAACATTGGTGAGAACTTGCAAATTGGATTACCAATGACTTCAGGGAAAGTTATTTAACTTTGTGTTAAGACTGATCTGGATAGTCAGTTGCTTTGTTTATACTGGCAATGAAGAGAAGCTTATAGATGTTAACTTCAGAGGTAAGAAACTTAGGGAGAGTGTCTAGACCTTTATGCAATTTTCTGGTTAGAGCTGCTTAGACTTGCATCTAAACTTGATTTAAATACTCTGGAATGCAAACAAAATCCTAAACACTGTTATCCTGTGAGCCATTGGATATGGAAAAGGAAATGAGTTTGAACAAATTGGGGTAACGCTGTTGGTAACAATGCCTAGTTCAACAAAAGTTCTTACTGAATGAAAATATCCTTGTTTTAATGTGGCTTTGATCAGGTTTTATGTGAACCCTGCATGTTGCAATGTTTTACTGAAAAGGTAGGTTTGGGAACTAGTAGAGTCATTTTTCCAACTGCTTTTATGGTGGAAGTCAAATCTGACATGTAGGAATACTTAAATTTGGACACTTATTTGGCACACAGACTCCTTTATTCACATGTTCATAGTGTTGAATTGTTATAACTTCTGTAAAGGTTTTGTTTTACAGAATTGTCTCTAACTTAAGGTTCAGGGGAGCGGTGTAAGCTTGCTAATTCACCATTTGAGCTGAGAGGCACCATTTAGCCTGGAAGTTTGGACTAGATGACTTAAGATATATTTCCAAAACTTTTTGAAAAGTCAGTTGCCAAACACTTGTGAAAGTCCTTTTAAAAACTGCATATGGTAACATTAATGGCAGTATGTGGAAAATATTTTTGTAGTGTTTCTTGAACAGAGTTGAAATCTTTGCTTAATACTGTGTGCTGTTCAGATGCTTGTACTACGAGCGGCTTTTGCAAAGCTAGTGAAGACTGGACAAGCTACGCATTGATTCAACAGCTTCAATCCAAGTAAATAAAACAATTCAACAAAAAGTTTAGTAGATAAGTATAGCTGATTGTCAGTAGCCATTGAGGGTAGTCTTCTGCTAATATACAGCTGCAGATCAGCAAAAGTTGGAAAACGAGATGGTAGGGAGAATTATAGGAAAATGTCAGAAAACAGTTTTCATAAAGAAAAGAATTTATAGTTTTATAAAGTCATGATAAATCATACTATGTAAAACAAATTCAAGACACAGTATTCTGTAACTGAACACCAGCATCTTAAATTCGGAAAAGTTTAGCATCGGAAGCCTGAACTGTTCTCTTGAAGTAAGTTACAGCAGCAATGGCATTTAGGTAGCACCAGTGTTTGATTGGTGGTGTGGTAAATGGAAACCTTGTTTCACACAGTTCATAGATATTCTTTTGAATCTGAGTATCTCCTTACCTCCTTTGGAAGAAACATGGATCAGTCCCATTATGAGCTATTGGTGTACCTCGTATAAGTAAGGTATGCTGAAGCTAATGTAGTAAAACTTGGAAGGAAGGATGTTTTCTGTGTTTGCAGCAACCTCTGTGGGCGGTTTATTCTGATCTCTGATTAATGGTGCATGTAACTTGTTTAATTTGCTGGCACAGTACAGTGTGGATTTGGGACTAGTCTAAAAAAACCCAACAGGTTTTAGAGAGGTTTGATTTCTGAAAGCATTCACAATATTGAAGCAGGATGAGTACTGCTCTAGTATGTCTAAGAATGCTACATTGCAGAATTTGCTTAGAACCCTGAATTTTATACTCTTGACCAATGTGAGAAAGCTTATGAACTGAGAACTTGTTCCGTTTGTTACACTGCCATACTAATTTGGCACTGTAAACAGTAGATACCTCTTACACCTTGAAATGTTTCCAAAGAATTAATTGTACTTTATTTGGCTTCTACACCACCTCCAGTAAAAATACTGAGGGAGATTTAGTTGAAGCACATGGATACTGTAAGGAGTCCACTAACCGAGATAAGAGGCTGCAAACTTAAGATAGGGTTGATTATCTTGGGCAGTCATGGGAGGACACTAATGCAAAATGAGGCAAAAGTTAAAAATAACCAAAGATCACAGGATTTGTGTGGCCCTGGGTATCTTTACTTATGCACTTAAAGGGGTGACTCTTTTACTTGCCCAATCAGTCATGCTTGTGTGGTACTTCCAGCATTTTGAGGGCTTGGTTAATTATTCTAGGGTAGATTTCTTGAGCAGTTCAAATACTGTAGTGTACCACTTGACAATTTTTAGTTTTCTAATAAACTTCCTAAATGTTCATATTATAAGTTTTTGTTAAATGATTTTGCCCTAAAAAGTATGTAACTTCCTGTAAAGGAGAGCTGAAGATGTAATATTGAAATTCTTGATCTGAAATTTGTCTCCTCGCTTTGTAACACTGGCTAATCAGTCCAGTTCATTTTGGCTAACTTTCTCAATGTCCGCAAACTGACCGGTTAGTATTTGTGAGGACTTATGTTCAGCTAGTTGGTTTAAAGTCTCTAAAGAATCACCTGTGCATCTAGGTAATATGACAGTATGACTGTTTTGATTTAGTGGCTACTCCATCTGTTACAATCTCTGGTTAATTGTCTTTTAAAAAAGAAAAGGGGTGCTGACTGATAATACTATATTGCTACGACTTGTTCTATTTTGTGCGTTGAAGTAATCAGTAACAGAGCCTTTCATCTATAATGGACTTAGGTTAATAGTGGAACATCCCTTGACATGGAGTCCAGTCATTAAAATAGCTTCAAAATTATTATATTTTTGTATATGCTTTTCCTATGAACAACTTCCATTACTAGATGTCATAGCTAGCTTTTATTCACTGTCCTGTATGCTACCTCTTCCCCAGCGTGCTAGTCCTCTGTATCACCTGCATGAAGTTGATTACTTTTAGTCTTTTTATCATTGCTGAATTTAAGGTAGATCTGAAATCCATAGTCTGAAAGGGTTAATTCTGTAAGTCCTTTGGAGTTCACAAAACAGTATTGCTTCATATGCTGGCTAATAGAATGAGGGAGAACTAATGGTTGATTCTTTCCTTTGAATTACTATGCAGTAATTGAAGTGCCCATATAACTTTGTCTCTTAATGAAATTCTTTCTTCTTCTAGCTTTGTACTCCATCATACTGTTCTGCGTCTTTCTGTGGATTCCCTTTGTCTATTTCTATTACGAAGAGAAGGAAGAAGACAATGGCGACACGTGCTCAGTAAGTTCACTTCAGCAAATGCACCAAGCAGTGAAAATACAGGCAAAAAAGTAAAGCAAGAATGATTGTCTAACTTGAATAGTACAATCTTAAAGGTCTCTTACTACAGTTCCTTTAAAATACTAAGGCAACCCTTAATAACATTTTGTCTAAACACTGTGGTCTCACATGAAATTAAACTTCAATGAGATAAGTAATTAATGTCTGTATTACTGTGGGTTTTTAAGCTTCCCACAAATTCATTTGAGCCTGTTCTCATATACAGGAAATCAAAATTTCTTACATGAGATTTCCTTTAGAACAGAAAACATGTATGAACAAGTTTTGAAGTAGAAGACAGGAAAATTATACTGATTCTGATATAGACTATATGTCTTCTAGCATTTACATTTTTACATGAAATAGGCAATAGTGATTTACCTGAAGCTAGCACATGGTTATTTTGGTAATGCACTGAAGAGTTTTGACATGAACATTGCAGGGAGTACAATAAATGCTGGTAAGGTGCTAACTTCTGAAATGAAAATACATTGTTTTTAAAGGGTCTCTTAATGATGCATGATGATGATTTTTCCCCTCTATTCATTTGTAACCTTAACATGAGAAGACTTCTAATCATACCCATAATGTAAAGCATTGTTTATAAGAGTTTTCTTTGAGTGTTTTTGCAGTGAACAAACGTATGCTGGCCTCTGGCCCTAGGAGCTCAAGTGCATAGTTTGAGGGAAGCATAATTCACTGTCACTGTTAAGAGTCTCCTAGCTTGAGAATTACAAGCCAGAATTATATATTCTCGTATATCTAAAACTACTCATGTTTTCCGTGGAGGCTCTTTTGTAGAGCACCTGTTATGCTAAGTATGCTTTGCTGTAAGTTGTTGGACAAATCTCATTGGATTTATTTTATGTTAATACATTAATTTTCTCTCCAATATACAGCAGGTTAAAACTGCACTCAAATATACTCTGGGATTCATCACAATTTGTGCAGTTCTTCTCTTAATTGGGTAAGTATTTGTATTGAACATTAACAAGGGATTTACTAAATAGAACCCTAAATAAAACTTTGTTCTGTGTAAGCTTTAAAAGGTAGATTATGGTGCACTCAATCAGTGTAATGAATATGTAGCTTAAAAGATTAACTAGTAGCTAAAACAATTTTCTTCATTGTAGAGGTACTTGTGCTTCCAAGTTCTGGCTGTTTGTGCAGTGTGAGCATCTATCAACTATGTGATGGCCTATGACATGACTGTATTCATATCTCTCTACAATGAAGAGTAAAATTTCACAGAATAACACTGAATCACAGAATGTTAGGGTTTGGAAAGGACCTCAAAAGATAATCTAGTCCAACCCTACTGCTAAAGCAGGATCCCCTAGAGTAGGTCACACAGGAACGTGACCAGGTGAGTTTTGCATGTCTCCAGAGAAGGAGACTCCACAACCTCTCTGGGCAGCCTGTGCCAGTGCTCTGTCACCCTCACAGTAAGAGATTTTTCCTTATGTTTACATGGAACCTGCTATGTGCCAGCTTGCACCTGTTGCCCCTTGTCTTGCTAATTGGAATTACAGCTCCTGCTATTGGATGTACACCTATTCAGAATCCTAACTTTAATCTGATGTTTCTGTGATCCTTCTGGCTTTTGCATCTGCTAAATGCTTTCATGGACATTGCAAAACAACTTTTAGGATTATAAGGATGTGTAACGTAGAACTTTGCTGAATGAAAGTGTTCTCTGAAGTCCATAGGTATAGTTTGGCATTGTACTTGACATACATGTGCCTTGTATGGTAAAGGTTTTGCTGACACTCGTTTAAAAGGCAGACATTACTGAAGTGACTAGCTTGTTTGCAGCAAATGCTGTTATGCTGGAACTCCAACCAGTATTACAAATTAAAGATCACCATTAAGCATGACATGCACACCAGTATTGAATGTTTCTAATATATGATGTGTCATAAGCTTTTTAGCATGTTGACTGCAGCATTCAAGTTAGTAAAACTTAAATGGATGCTAAAATGATTCATATCAAAGTACTGGAGTGCAAAGTAGAAACTAGAGTGAAATTAAAGCTTCTAATTGTATACCACCTTATTGAAATATTGCTTTAGTTTTCTTTAAACATTTAAGGCATTGTCTTTCCAGTTAAAACATATTTGTTATTATGAGAGATTAAAGGAGTTGGAGCTAGCTTAATTGCAGTTTAGAAATATTACTGAATCTGACTGTTGACTCACATCATAGGCATGCTTATATGTCCTGTGTAATATGTCCAGCTTGAAGTTTTTTGGTATCTCTAGTATCAAGTGTTAGCGGAGTCCTCAATAGCTGTAAGCATGTTTGTTCCTATCTGCCAGTAAGATGGAACTTAGTTCTTGACTTTGAATTGTTTTCTGCGCTCTTAGCCTTGTACTTCAAAGTCTTCAACTTGTAAATTAGAGAGACATCCATGATCCCCCTCTGATACTGTGCCATATGACAGTGAGATTGACTTGCAAACCAGGTGGCCTGCGACTAAGTTAGTTACTGGACAATGCTTCTCCGTAGGTATGGACTTGAAACCCATCTTGAAACTGATCTAAACAGTATCTGCTGCAGGGAAGCAGGACTCCTTTAGATACTGATAGGCATTTTAGTATTTCTGGGTTCTAACTGGAACAATTCTTATGCTATTACATGTGTGAGGTTGCTTGCTTTCTTTTAAGATGGTATCCTGATGCCCTTGGAATAGAAAAGCAGCCTTGCTTCTTAAGACACTGCTGCACAAGAATGTAATTGCCTTTAAGGCAAACTACAAGACTGAACAGCTCAGTTAAGGGAGCAAATGAGGTGACTGTGCTGAAAAAAGTGTAGACTTTGGTTCTAGTATATTTATGTGAAATAGTGGGCGTTTATGTACGTGCTTGTTGTGGACAAGTCATCTGTCACAGTGAGTCGACTGTCTGCACAGCAAGGGCAAAGAGCAACCTCAGAAGTCTGCAGTGTGATAGGAGAGAGAAAAAAGTGTTGGAGCTAAACTTTCTGCATGAGGGATTTAACTGAATGTGGTAGTAAAGACCAATCTTAGAGCAGGAGATTGTCTTGCTTCTGGTCAGGATCAGACCGACATTAAAACAGACTGGAATCTTCTACTGGATTTAATTTTAGCAGGTTAGGCTTAATGGACTAGAGTAGTCATGCACACAGATTACAAGAGCAAGAGGGGCTGGAATATTTCCTGTTAAGTGCCTAGCTAATTGTCTATCTTCTTGTGCTTCTGTAAGACTGGTGTTCTTATATCAAGACAACCTCTGTTCTGACTGACTTGACAAGTAATCTGTATAATTAAAACAGGTCAATAAATAGCTTAGTTCCTTTAAGGACAGGTCCACACAAGAAGTTCCTACCCCTTTGCTGGTCAGCAGCCCTCAAAGAAACCATAAAAGCTGTATTAAGCTTGAAGTTTAAGAATATCTTATTCTTAACTGGATGTTTGTCTTGCTCCATTAGAGATCGATGAGACTGTTTTGGGAAACATAGTAACTAGTTTGGGCCAGATGATCTTGGAGGTTTTTTCTAAGTTGATAACACAGCTCAATGAACAGGATTCCATTGTCTGAATTATCAGGAGTAGCATCTATGGCCCTTAGTCCATTTGTCTGCCTCTCGGTGTGGCAAAAACGTGCATGTCTGTAACAGCACTTAAAGGCTCTGTACACAAATAACTTAATGTAGAGCATCCTTAAAAGCAAAGTATAGCACAAACTTATGGTGATACTTGAAACTAATTATTTACTTGTAATGCCTTTCCCTTTTCAGAAACTATGTACTTTCCTGGAATGTAGTTTATTTACTCTGTCACCTCAAGCTCCTTGGCTCCCGCACATACTACAAATCTACATTAAGGCACCATTCTACGTCAATCTAGTTTGAACTAAAAGATTTGCTTTTGAGGGTAATGAATGTTTGGTCCTAAAAGCAATGTTTTCTTATCTGTTAGTGTTTGGAATTCAGTTGATTACCTTAAATTTTCTAGAACCATTAGCTTTGTAAAAGTGATGAATATACTTCTAATTAGCCTATAAATTATTATGCAAATTGTAATAGAACTCACTTTAAGGAAATGAGTGTAAATCTAGTGTGTTAGAAATTATTATCCTAAAGGGTGATAGTTAATGGCACTCTTTGATTAAAGTATCAAACTTGACCCATCTAAATCTGTGTGTTATTAGCCCTGCCAAAAGTTAATAGTTTTAAACTACTTGTCTTGCATTTACTTTCCTTGTTCTGCAGCCTACATATTGATCTAGATCTTAGTCATACTATTCCCAGGATGTGTTTTAAACAGCATAGCAATTTGCTTTTGTTGTTAAAATTACTGCAGTTAATCACTTCATTTGTGTCCAGAACTCCAAGTGTAAGATAGCACAGCTGAGCTGCTCGATTGGCTTGCATTAACTGAATTCTCAGCTCCATCTGTAACACCCTGTGCTGGCACTTGTATTCTGTTCACTCACTGTGAGTGGACCGACTTGTCTTGCATCACAGTGATGACAGATGGGAGTTATTTAGTGTGGAAGCTTCTCATTCTGATGATAGTTAACTATGGCCCTCAAGCTATGTTGACCATTTAGTCAGTGTTAAAAAATAGCCAAGACTTTAGTCAAGTTTCTTCTTGCTCAGCATGCATTAGGCATAGGCCTAAGCTGCTGTGTGTTGTGCTGCTGCAGTGGATGGGCTGTGATTTGGAGATCCTTGCACTGGGTGCAGGTCTGTAGATGGGTAGGCATGCTAACCCTATCTCTTTTTTCTTGTGGCCTGTCAAGCTAGAGGCCAAAAGTCTGTTCAGGTGGACTTGTTAGCCTGATGGCTAGCTTCCTGCTAGTTGAGTGACCCTGTTTGAGAAGGGAGATAAGATTCCTGCTTGTTTGGGAAGAAAGTGTGTGAGTTTATAGCTCCTGCATTCCTTTCTGAGGCCCTTGGTGCATGGGCCTGAAGCAGGAGCAGAATTAGATGTCCATCTCCTTTAGTCAAGATTCAACTGAGTACTAATAGAAGAATGTGTATAACAGATACTGTGGCTTCTGCTCTGGTTATTGTCCTTTGACATGCTGCAGATTAGGTGGTCTCAGCACCCAAAAAAAAAAAAAATTAACCTCATTGCTCTTGGAGGGGGGAGGAAAAGGCAAGCAAGTTATAAATATACAAAGATGTTCTTCCATGTCATTTGTTCCCTGCATGTAGTCCACAGAGAGCAGATTCATACTGGTTTAAAACTTAAGGACTTGAGCTCACTTAGTTTCCCAGTCTCCTAGTTTAACGCTTTCTAGCAAATCTACAGTTATTTGTGTTGCTTTCTCTTGAAATTTTACTTAATAGTTGTGTCTTCATTTTGCTTGGATGCTGTTTTACAGGAAAGTTTACTATTAGAGGCAGATGAGCAAAATCTAAAGCCAGAAAGCATACACCAACCTAAGTAAATGCTAGCCTTGATCTACCTGTTGCACAGTAAAGAAGCTAAAAATAAAGCAGTTTAAAACAAAATTAATTTTTAAAATTTTGACTGTTTGCAGAGTACCAGTTTGGTTTTTGGTTTTGATATGATGGTTATAAGTACATGCAGTTATTTTAACAGTAACTCTTGAAACATGTGCTTACATTCTGTACTTGAAGTCTGATGCATACTCCTGGAAGATGCCTACTTGTTATTCAGTTGTTCGTTGGGAATTGAAAATGGGATCTAATTATGCTCTTTCTTGCAAAAGTCCAGAAGTTACTTGTGAACATTCTTTATGGACTTTGGTTCAAGTTCTTGCATTCCTTATCTAAAATGTTTCCCTCCAAAGCTGACTTCCTTGTGTCTTGTAGGCATTTTGTTTCGTATCTGGAAGTTGCAGTTTCAGATTGGTGTGGAGGTACTGGTTTTCAATCTGTTACATAGCTAGCTGTTCTGCCTATGGATATGCTGAAAAGTTACTCTTCTGTTGGACTTCAGATGGGGACACTGACAGCAGGATGCTGTCAGCTAGGGCACTGTTCTACCTAACATTCTCCTGAGCACTGTTTGCTAGTCTCTCATTATTGGAAGGACAAAAATGTTTGATGAACAACTCTGGAGTTCAACTGTCTGGGCCAGCTACAGAACAAGGGATAGAATGCACCAGATGTATTATTTCAGTTGTAGTGATGGAAGGTAAATATGTCCCTTAAGCTTTAATTAAAGCTTGATGTGGTAATCAGTAATTGTTTCTAGCTTCCAGAAGTGTGGATTTATAAGAGAATTTGTCTTAATTGATGTGTAGAGGAGCAAAAGGACTTTAAACAAGTCAGACCAGGTTAGTAAATGAGATTAATGTATCTTTTAATGATGCTTGAGTGTAGGGTCCTTACCTCTGTTAGGACTGGTAAATAGAAAATGACTTGTTCATTGACCTCAGTCCTGACTCTGTGCACACACACTCACATGTACTCTGCTGGTAAAAGTATAGCGTTTGAGGGGAATGTGAATAAAATGAAACATTACCTTCAAATCTTTTTTTGAAACTGGTGCCATACAATTTTTCTTCCAGAATAAATAGATTTCTGTTTTCTTAACTTGAAAGTAGGATTCTTTTGATATTTGGTTAATAGGGCTCAGATGACTTTTTTGCTTTGTTACAGTGCTTTTGTTCCTTTGGATATTCCCAACAAGAAGAATTCCACAGAATGGGAGAAAGTGAAGCTCCTATTTGAAGAATTTGGAAGTAGTCGTAAGTTTAAGATCTGCTCTGAGCTTTGTGGAACTTGCTGCTTATTTATTCTGACATACTCATCACTGACTGAACAAGAAAACTAACTTGGTGTCAGTCTTCTAACCTGACTCTAATTGCTTATGTAAATTGCTAAATCTTTGCAATAAGATTGTTCTCTTTCTGTTCAGACAAAAATAAATCAGAACTATCTTTCAAGTACAGAGAAGAGACATTTGTAGTTTCTGTTTTCAGTATAGTCCCTGGTTGACAGCAAGGATTTCAGTGTTGTGCCCTATGATATTAATGGTGGGGAGGGGAAGGTTCTTTCTTCCGTGGAGTCTTCACTTTAAGCAGCTTTTAAATGTTACTTGGATACCCTAAAATCGGTGAACTTCAGTATGGTATGTTTTTGTGTGACAGTTTCCAAATGCTTACCTAATTAAATGTGATGCTGCTGTTCACTGTAAGAATAAGACTATATTGTACTATATTGTAAGTGGCTTTGTGTAATTAGACAGAAAAATTCCATGGGTATTATAAGTTTTGCCCTTTATTCTCCTAGTATTGTTCTTTTCTAAAATTTTGTTTGCATTTGGTTTACTTCTTTATGCTAGGACTATAAACTATTGTGAAGGCTAAACACCATTAAGCTATATTTAACCTGTAGCTTATCCATTCATGTATTTAGGCAGGGTGTGTTTTCAGAACAAAGCTGTTCTGTCAAAAGAAAGTGTCTTATAGGTAGCTAAGATAGACTTCATGTTATGTTCAAAAATATATCCAGAAAAATGGTAACTAAAAATTATCTAATGAACACGAAACCAAATGCATAAGTATTCTGATATTTGTGCCTCGTTCCTGCTGTGTATCACAGATTATTGGCTTCTGTCTGAATATTTTAGAATAGAACGCTGTGAGCCTTTGTCAAGTTGTATTCTGCATTATTCTAGGAATTTTCTGTTGACTAAAAGTTCCCTGCAATGACATTTGGCAGCTCTGTCAGTGCTTGTATCCCTTCGGGGCCCATCACCATAGTACATCCAGACAGCTTAAGTATCTCTAACCTGGGACTTCTAACCTTAAGATCTCTAACCTTTTCCTCTTCCACCAAGGGTGCATCTCCCTTCCAGCCTTTCACCCTGGTCTTTTGGGCCTGGGTTTCCTGAAATCTGGTCTTTCTAGTGAGAACTGAGGCAAAGACATTCAATTACTTAGACTTTTCCATGTCCTGTGTCACCAGAGCTCCTGCCCCATTCAGCAGCAGGTCCACAGTTCGCTTTGTCTTTTAACATTTGCAAATTTGAAGAAGCCCTTCTTGCTGCCTTTGACATCCTTCCAGAATCTTTCATCACACTACATGCTGTGCTTGCCAGCACAGGAGACAGGGAGGACAAGTCTGTAACTTTTTCATTATTTGACTGTCTCCTTGTGTATGTTTCTCTTGCTTCTCAAAGATTCTGACAACATAGAAAATGCTTTTTAAACTGTTTATACAGGTAGTGACAGCGGTTAAGCTGAGATGTAAGCTCATTTTTCTAGGCTGCTTTGATATGACTTTCTGTTAAGTACTCACCTCTGTACATGTCCTTGCTATGAAAATATAGTAGAGTTAATGTTTGTTTATAGGAAAGCTTAATCATTAAGGTGCTGGAATGGATGTGAAAGTCTGGTTTTGATTTCTGACTTTACAGCATTCTCTTGCAAATTTTAATTTCATAGGATAGTTCAAACTGAAGAAACCTCGTATCTAGTTGGATCTCATGCTCAAAGGAAGAAGCTGTGAAGTCAGACCAGGTTGTGGAGGGCTTTATCAACTAGGTCTTGAAAAACATCTTAAGACTGAGACTCTTTCATCTCATTGTGGGAAAAAATCTCTTAGGCACTGTGGGTATACATTGTCACCCATTGTCTCACGTGGCTGCTATGCACCACTAAAAAGCCTGGCTCTATCTCTGGTAAGCAGGCAGGCTGTATTAAGTATCTCCAAAGTGCTCTCTGTTTGCAGCTAAACAAGCCTGGCTCCCTCAACTTGTATGCATAGTGTGTGCTCCAACCTCTGACCGCCTTAGCTTTCCTCTTGGCTTGCTCAGATTTTGCCTGTAGAGGGCCTCAAAACTGGTTTTGATATTCCCTGTATGGTCTCTTACCATAATAGGTGGGCATGCTGCTGTTGATACAGCTGAGGATGCTGTTGGACTTCCCTGCTGCCAGGGCACACTGGTGGCTTATCTTCAGTTTGCTGTCTGCCAGGACCTCCCCCACCAGGATTTTTGTAGAGCTACACCATAGCCAGCACATCCTCACTTAGTGATGTTGCAAAAAGCTCTTCTGTATTCCAGAAGAACTGGAGAAATGAGAACAAAATTTTTACCTGTTCTCCTTAAGTGGCCCTGTTGCCCTATTTTTTTATTTTATTTTTCCTTTGTCTTTTTGCAGTTAACCCAAGAAATACAAAGATCTAAATTTTGGATGTTTTTCAATGTCCATTTGGTTTATAGTGGAATTATAAAAAGAATCCAGATTCAACCACTGAGGCAGAGTCTGATAATTTACTTTGGGTATACAATTATAAATTTTTCAGCCAGTTAGTTTCTTAATATTCTGTTGAACACAGTTCAAACGTTTTGGGTGTTGATTCCAAATACATGTAGAGGAGGATCATCAAATACGGTGTTAAAGTAAATTGTGTGATATGTTAGAAATGGGGGTTACTTATGTTGGTTTTGTGGTGTTTTTTGTTGTGCTTTTTTCCCCTGTAAGCTTCAGAACATAAGTAGAATTTTCACAAGTACTAAAACGGGGAAAATAGTACTGTGTTTTTGGATTTTTTTCTAGTTTTAAACATAGCTGTAGCATCTGAACTTTAGGAACATATTGCTGTTAGCTTTGGCAAGGTTGTTTGATATTATCTAGCAAAAACAGCAAAGGAAGGTTTTCAGCTGTGATGTTGGATTTTGTTGTGCTATTATCTACAAGTTTTTGGCCTTTTTGGAAGGAGGCCTGTAGGGTTGGTCAGGAGAAAGGTGCAATGGACTAATGAACTTAAATATCTTGAGGAATTCAATTCAGAAAGAAATGTTCTTATACCTCTACTGCAGGGATTTTTAACAGGCTTTTTTTTTTTCCTGCAGATGGCTTGACTGCTCTTTCATTTTCCATTAGTTCCTTGACTGTGATTGGAATGTTGGCAGCCATCACTTACACAGTAAGTTGTTATGCAAATGTTTCAGCTCTTCACATTCATGATACTTGCAGTTATCATGGACTATATGTGTGTACTGAAAACAGTCATCGTGCTAAATGGGATCAACAGTTGTCTTGTAGCTCTGGATTTGAAAAACTACTTTTAAGTTCTTGGAATGACAGGAATTTTTACTACATCTTTAAGAACCAATGTTGCAGTTCTTAAACACAGATCAAAGGTTCCTTATGGCTCCTTACGCCTCCTCCTGTTTTTAAGCCTCTGTTTCTCCATCCAGCAGTGGAGAAAAAATATTACTTTAGTCATTGAACTATGACATGTCCTAGGCTTGGTCTGATCAGTCTGTAATACTGAATATAACCTTTACTACAGCTTTTGATGTTTTTATCCTTACAGAGCTTTACAGTGGTAAGTCTGGCAGAATAACTTGATTTGATAACTGTCTCTTTGTAAAAGGTTATAGAACGAAGTGTCTTTAAGAGAGCATTGCTTCACGGTTTGGTATTTCTCAGGGTAAAAATCTATGCATGTCAGGGTTCAGTTTTAGCCATGAAGAATCTGCGGCATGTTCTGTAATGTGTGCCTTAAATCAAGAGCAGCTAAAAAGTTAAAAGCAAATAGAGTTTGAAACTGTTTAGAAGCTTGTTTTCTAAAGCCTCAGGAATATTCTTCTTAGCTCTAGACATGCGACTTAGCAGTTCCTGTAGCTTAGAAAGATTTTGAAGTGTTCATTTTGTAACTGATTGCAAATCACATGATTAAAGGTATGTTAGTTCAACTGCATGACTCTTGCTTTTATGTGCGGAGGAACAATTTTGACTTACTGGGTTTGGCCAACATTTGATGTTTGCGTGGTCTTCTGGTTTCCCAGTCTTGTTTCTTCAGTCATTGAATAACCAACCTGTTTGTAATGGCTATGTGTATTACCTTGTCATCAAGGTAAAATTTTGCAACAAAGGTAAACCTGTTAAAGCTCAAGATAGCTGCAGATAAAGCTTCATAACTTCTCAGATGTCAGTGTTTTCCTGATAAGTTTTAGTCTTTTAAGTTCATGTCCTTGCTAAAATAACTTTCTCTTACATTGCAGCCTGGCTTTAACATAGTAATGTTGTTTTGCTAGTGAATTCTAAGTGACTGTGTAACAATAGCTCAAACAATGTTTATTGTGAAGCCTTGCTAGCCAAGGAGGTGTTTTGTGGTAGCTTGTTGTCAGGCAAAGGATAAATGGATAAAATTGTCATAGAACAAGGACATAAGAAAGGAGGGAAGAGTGTTTTAGTCATAACTGTGTAAGGGAGTAAAGTACCTGCTAAATACTACTTTTAGACTCAAGCAAATCTAAATTGAGTAACAAGCATAGCTAAAGATTTTCTGTCTCTTTATCCTGATGACTTCAGCTGGTGTAAGCTAAAGCAAGATTAAGGGAGGCAGTTCAGTACAGGTTCTCAGATGTGTCACAGCCCTGACAGTTTGGTGGTTGTCAGGCTCTGTGCAGCAGGTAGGAGAGCAATTTGGTAGATCAGCCAGTAGGTATCTCAGGTGAACTGAATTGCTCTCAACCTCGTTAACTAAGTGCTTTAGCTTGACCCAAATCATAAATTTTATTACTGTAAGCCTTTTCTGACTGACATGGGTCACTAAATTGTTCTGGTTATATTGCTGACACCTAGATCGTATGCTGGTCAAAAAGAATATCCAGACTGTTTAGCTTGCAATAACATGTCAGCCTTTAAATATTTCCCTTAATTATGGAAGGGAAGATTAATGTTGTGGTCAATTACATTACTGCAAAGCACATGTAGTGTTTTTTAACCTCCATAAGGCTAACACTGAGAACAAACTCATTAGCTGGGAGAATATCCTAAGAGTTTTTGTGGGTTTTTTGCTGTTTTTTTTTTTTCAAACAGCTACCCAAGTATCGTCTTTAACTATTAGTAAACATCTATAAATGTCTAAAATGCATGGTGGTTTTATTTTGCACAAACTTCTTGCTGGCTGAAATGTAAGCAATATTTGAAAAAGTAGCATTTGGATTTTATTGCTGATATTCCCTATTCCTGATGTTATTTCCCTCTATTTTTGAGCACAGATTGGTTGTAGGCACCATTGAGCTGTTCATCACAATATGATTTTGTTCTCAAAATAGCTGAACCTGCAAATAGGTGACTTCTGTTTAATGAGCAATAACTTCAGTGTGCTATGGTGTCTGTGTGATTTCTCAAATGAAGACAGTATCTCTGTCCTCAATATTGTTTCCTTAATCTTACAGTGTGTAGGATTTGTACAAATACAGGATAGTAAATGAGATGAAACATCAAGCATGAGAAATAAATAGTCATCTTTGAATGCCTTAATTACTGAAATTTTATGCTAATTTGTTGCTTCGAAAACTTCAGCCAAGCTGTCCATGGAAATGCCTGGAGCATGGAATTGCTGTTTACTGTAACTACTGTATTTAGTTGTTCTGTTTTCCAGTAAGTAGTAAGGCTAGGTGGGAGAAATGGAGGAGCTATTTCGCAGAAATTTTAGGGATGCACTCACACAGGAGATGCTTATCGCCCGCCTAATAGGAGAGGTTTTTGTTGTTGTTTAGAGGCAGTTGTACAATCTGATGCTGATGCTGTGAGCTGGTTTTGATAAATGGGTGGAACGAGGTACAAATGTGTCATATACAGTGAAAACTACTTATTAAAAGATCTGTGTTCTCAAAATTGGAGTGGGAATAGGTTGGGTGTGTTTTTATGCTTTTAGTAGCGCTCCTCTTTTGTGACGCTTTGTCCGCTAGTGGTGACGGTCAGGCTTAAATACGTAAGCAATTCCTGCCTGTAACAACATGACAGCATGAGCAGTGCTGCTCTCATGGTCTGAAGAGGTAATTGTGAGTGTGATCTTGATAGCCTGTGGAGGCCATGTACCTGCATTCCAGTTTATATTGTGAACTGGGCTTTTCCTAGGGGTAGGACTTCATGCGGAAAGCTGCTTCAGTAGTGAGAAGTTCCTGGGTGGTCACACTTCCCTAGGCCTTGGGGAGAGGTTGGCCCAGAGTATAGCCTCTCCGTCTCCACCGGTTTGGATTACTCCACTCCTTCCGCTTGAAAGGAGAAGCAGGCATCGCTTTGAAAGGAGTAGCTTATTTTCTCTTGGTAACTTCCCACTTGCGTTGTGGATATTTTGCTGTTATCTTGTATTAAAAAAATCTCCTCTAGGTAAGATAAAGGCATTAGTGTGCAGGCAAGTCTGCGAGATCTTGTCTGTAGTGCTTGTCTCTGACTTCGGACATCTGCCAAGTAAGTAGCTAGGCTCCTGTATTTTTCAGCCAGCCTTCTGCATGCTGTCAAATTATTGATCCCATTTTTTTAAGGTGGGAGGCCTTTGTGCTTAGTCATCAAACCACTGTTTGATAATCAGTGGTAGATTTCTGTATTTTTTAAGCATGGAAAGAGAATACTTTTTTAAAAGGGTGAATCTTAAAATCATAGAATGGCTTAGGTTGGAAGGGGCCTTAGAGATCATATAAGAACAAAGACACCTACTTGAAAATTTTCCACAAATACTTAACATATGATGGAAAAGAGAATAGAGATGGGGACGCAGTGTGGTATCTGTGTTCCCTTGTCTATCAAAGGTGATCTCAAATCTTTGGTTTATACTCATTAAGAGTTGAGGATTTGTAGTACAAGATGTAAGTGATTTATTTTTCGTTGTTCCCCTGACTTCTGAATGTCTTCAGTCAGTTCCTATTGCCAGCATTGCAATTGTATTGTTACAGGGAAGCTAAGAACAGGTTTATCTGGTCTTCTGTATACTTATTCACCTTTTTACTCTAAAGAAAATAAATTATTGTAAATGAACATCTAATGAAGGTTATATCTCAATAGATAATATGTTAGCAAATTTTTTAATACCCAATTAAGAATGGTTATACATTGAATGCCTACTACTTTAACACGAAACGCTAAAAGTAAATAGGACTGCTGTGCTTGCACTGAGTGCAGTTGACTGATTTAATCTTAAAAGGTTATTTGTGGAAGAGTACCATGAAACAGATGAATCAAGTGATTCTGTCTAAGTTGTTTGTAGTACAATTCATCTGTTCTGCAGTCAAATGTATGTTAACAGTACTGTTTTGTGTGACCTTCAGTGTGATGGGTTAGGTTATGATCATTCTAAAATTGCACTTCTGTGTTGTGGTAATGTACAATACTGTGAGGAGTTGGGGAAAAAAGGCTTTGATACTGGCAACAGGCAGTCTTGAATTTGAGCTTCTGAGAGCAAAAGCTCACTTCTATGTGTGTATTCTCCTAGGCTTTTTCTATGAAAAAACATTTTCCTGCTTCCACAGGAGGAGGTAATGCAATGGCGTAGCTTTTTTTTTTTTTTTTAAGAGTGTAAATGGCTACAGCTTAAATTAGGAAACTAACTAGATTAGTCATTGGGGTAAATTTGTTAAAACCTGTTTAAGTACTATTAGCATTGATCCAGTGTCCTGGGACATGAGAGAGGCCCGGAATGCTGGATTGATGCTGAATGGTACTTAGGAAATGGCAAGGGGAAGGGCAAAGTCCTGCAGCTGAGGAAGAGCAACTCAGGCATCAACATATGCAGGAGACCTCCTAGCAGAGAGCAGCTTTGACGAGAAGGACCTGGACGTTCTGATAAACATTAAGTTAACTAAGAGCCAGCAATTTCCCCTTGCTGCAGAGAAGGCTCATGGTATCCTGGGCAGCATTAAGAGGAGTGTTGCCAGCAGGTCATTGAAGATGATCCTTCCCCTCTGCTCAGCCCTGGTGAGGCCACAGCTGGAGTGCTGTGTCAGTTCTGGGCTGCCCAGTATGAGAGAGAGATGGAAAGTCCACAAATGACTTTCTTCCAGTGAGAAAAGGCTGAGAGCTAACTCTTTTTATCCTGGAGGAGAGAAAGACTCAGGGGAAACGTTAGCCATGTGTACAAATATTTAAAGGGAGAGTGCAAAGTATATGAAACCAACTGAAACGCAGGAGATT